GATCTACGAAGAAGAAAGAAACCCACGCGAATTAACTGTTCATGATCTAAACATGCTGAGAATTTCTGCCGGAGGTTTGAATATTTGCACGGATTATGTGGTAACTTTCAATAAACAATTCTACCGTTTGTTGCGACTTGCCAATTTAACATAAACTCATATGATAATCGTCGAGATCTCCACTGCGATGTTTCTATCAATAGCTAGTGCGCCAATTGCATATAATTTCAGCCGGTATTCTCGTGGGGTCAATTTCCGTAAACTCGCTGTAATTCCATAACCAAGTCGTAGTAACTATATGATTCCGAGAATCATTAATGGCGTCGTTACCCTCGCGACGTACATTTGGCATATTATTCATCCCATAATTAATTTGCCCACCATAAGAACAAACAATAAACATCATATTGCTGTCAATCCTATTCACAAACAGAAATTATATCATTTAGAATATACAAAAATTAAATTAATATGAAATAATCTCACTAATAATTTCAACCAAAACCCTAATTCCCAAATTGCTAAATCCTAACCCTAAAATTGACAACCTTGAGACATATATTGCCCTAAAAGTTAATTTACATCGATAATAATCATCAGTACTAAACGATTTCAGCAGATTAAATCAGCCGCTACGAAATTCCATTTATGAATGAGATAACCTTAGCACGAGATCTATTTTTAAGAGAAAATCCTACACTTTCTACAAAGTAAGATATGAGAGGAAGTAGAAGGAAGATTACCAATATACGTGAAGATAACTTTGATTTGAAAAGTTCCGCCCGACAGAAACGAGCTCAAAATGAATCTGAGCTGCGTTTTGCGCAGAACAGTACGGAACGAGAGAGATAGAGGCGGAGAATGAGATGGATCGGGAAAGGGGGTTGCGGTGCTTTATACGGACGGTGGGACCCAGATAGTAGTCGTGTTTCCCAAACCCGACTACTTTCGGGTTGCCCCGACCAATTAAAAATGAGCTTTCGAAATGGTCGGGCGTTCCCAAACCCCGACATTTGTCCGTGTGTCCGGTTCAGCCAGCTATCGCTGTCTCTGCTGAAATGTCGGGGTGGAGAAGCCGCGACCATTTCGTAAGAGACCTGCATTTCGCAAGAATGGCGGTGTCCAAACCCGATCTCATTTTTGGTGTGGTCCGGCTTCAGAGCCCAGCTATTCGCTCGGGCCTCTGCCTAATGGTCGCGGGTTTGGGAACCCCGACCAGTTCTGAATAGGCTCTTACGAATATGCGTCCGTGGTTCCCAACCAGTTTAGTTAACCTCGTAACAGCTCGATGACTAAGACAGTCGGGTTGCCCAACCCCGACTGTTTACGAGACGTTTAAAATTAACTCGACCAGCTTTCTCGCCACGCACGTTAGTGCCTGGACGAAAACGGTCGATTTCAGTACAATAAAAAGTCGAAAGGATACACAGTCGATTTTGATAATAAAAAATTAAAATCAGGCTACAGTGAAAATTTGTTCTAAAAAATATTGTTAGAACTAGCATTAAACTTCACATATTTCGTAACACATATTTGTGAAGTTTTAGGATGGGTTAGATACGGGTTTAAATTGGGTACTTCCACTTCCTATTTGATTAACAGAAACCACCATGCTTGACACAAATTCTACTCAGGTTAGATTTGCTTGCTGGTACCCATACCAGACTTTCAAATTTAGATTTCTATCGACAAAATCCATCCATTCCTACTTGCATCATGAGTATTGGTGCTTAAAATACTTTATCTCCAAAGTTTACTACTAGAAAAGCATCAAGTCACAGAATATGTTGCCAATACTCGTGATATGGATGTTCAACTACTAACCATCTCATATGTTGCTCCAGGCTGGTAGACTGCGATACAAAAAGCACCCCAGGGGCCGGCTCTCATAAATAGACGTAGGAATAGTCACATTAAACCAAAGGGTAAAAAAAAAAATCATAAGGAAATTCGCGTATATTATTTAAACCGATGGTTCATCATGAGCATGTGCAGAAGAATAGAACCACTCAGCAAACAAAAAAAAAACATAGAAAGAGCTGTTGACTTTTGGTGTCAAAATCTTAATCAAGATTAATGTACTTTGACTAGCTAAACTAGCCATGCTGCATAAATTGAAATATTACATCAGGGGTGAGGTTGGGGGAAGAGGGACGATGGCGAACGCTGGCGTGGATCTAGTGAGATCCAAATGGGCGGAACAAAGTACCTGAGTTTGAGTTCGCTAAAATCTTGAAAGCTTTCTTCTTCAAAGTCATATATGCCCATGTCACAAATAGAGTCTACTTCGACGTCTTCTAGAAATCCTCGGGCAATGCTCGTGTGCCCGTACATCTCCTGCTCTGTAAAATATATGCAATTTGGCTTGCATCCTTGGTACTCTGATGCTCGTACACAAAGTGAATTGTTCTTACCCAAGAACAAAGCTTGATCGCCCAAGCTTTTAACCTTGACCCATTTAAAGTTGAATTTATGTCTCATTGGGACCCTTTTCTTGACGGTCATGCAGTAGGCCGGATCTTCTTTAGGCTTAACTGGCTTTTCAACAGCTTCGAGTTTGTACACAAGAAACTTATATGTGGTACTATTACCTTCATCATCTTCATAATCATCATCATCTCCTCTATTATTGATCTCTCTTACAACTTGCAGCAGATCTCCATATGTCGACTCAACCAGATATCTGTGGGAGTTAACTACATAGTATGGTGAATTCGCAATCTGTGCGAAATCACAAACAACGGCTAAGCCTTGATAATCAATAGCATAAACCTGACCCTTGTAACGTATGACATCTTGGATGTGAATCAGAGAATCCTCTACATTAGTCCACTCGTCATCCCCGACCCTACAAAATGACAGCACGCGTAAATTGGAGATGATTGACATGGCTAACATGCGGCCGTCATCGTCGTCCAAATTTCTTCTCTTACTCGAAGGATTTGACAGTATAATGGCCTTATCTATAAACCCGAAATCATTGAATTCGTGACTTTCAAAACCACCTTTAGGGTGTTGGAACGCATCAAGAGATGGGAGAGGGATTTGAGCCCTGGTTAATGGATCCAACAGCTGAATGCCTCGACCTTGGATATCCACCGTGAACAACCAACCATGACCGGATCCGGCGAGATACTTGTTTCTCATCTCCGGCAAAAGAAAATCACCGTAGTTCGTTCCGTCGGAAATAGAAAAAAAGCTTACGTTCTCCCACTCGTTATCGTGACAGTGCATTAACAGCGGTAGGGGAGGGGGTTTATTGGGGAGGACACAGAGGCGCAGCGGTAATTTTGGTGGAAGCAAGTGAAGGTTATCGTGGATGATGGAGCGGAATATCCGACAAACAGCAGCAAAACGAAGCACGTCTACGTGATGAGCTATCTTTTCAGCAATCAGCTGCAGGATATCAACTGGGAGTACTTCAAATGAGCCCATTTATAATGTTCCTGAAATGATAGATACCAAAAAAAAAAATTTAATTAAAAAAAAATACTACGCAGCAGACTACTAACTAATAAGTTGAAAGGATGATGCAAAACAATGGCACATAATAACTCACTGTTCTCATGAGGAAAATCAAACATATCTAGATATTGATTACATGATTCCTAAATTGAGGAACCAGAATTGGCAAATACAAACTCTTGATGAATTATAAGAAAAAAAAAATTAATGAAATATGCTGAAATTGCTTCTATTGTAAATCATTGAAATTGTTATTCATACTACAAGATGCATTTGCATACAGCAATAGTTTACTCGATCTAACATTCAAAGAGAGGTCTATGGTTATTAAAAATACAAAAATTTTCTCTTGAAGTTTATTTCAAACCCATTAATAGTTTTTTGAAGGGAGAAAAAAAAATTCAAACTTGCTCAAGCAAATTCAGGCAAATCATCTTCATAAGAGGTGATCAAGGTACGGTGTGAAACAAATCTAGATAACTATCCATAATAAAACTAGGTCCTCTAGTTTGGGAATCTTTAACTTGAAAAACACTTTGGAATCAGAGGCTAGATCTAATAAGAAACACGTTGACCTAATTAGGGTAAAAGAAGGATAAATTTCTCGGATTTGACAAATAGTACAGAAGGTCACAACGTATGGAAAAGGACATAAACATGGTAAAGGGCAAAAAAAAAACACCAAAAATTAAAAGAAAAAAACAATAAAGAAACAAATAGGAAGGGGGTGTTAATTAAAGGTCAGTTCTAAAGTGAAGGAATTACAGCATCAGCAGCAGAATCAGGAAAAACAGGCGGCGGTCGACCGGTCCGGTCGACCGCATTCGTGCACAAGGCTTCCTGTGCGTCTGGAAGGAGGTCGGTCGAGCTTTGTTTTAGGGTTTGGTCTGAGAGATTTGTAACCCTATTTGTATTCTCTTGATTTCTAGTAGAAAGAACTCCCCCCTCCTTGCCCCGTGGACGTAGGCAACTTGCCGAACCACGTAAATTGTGTGTTCTTGCTGTGATTGTGGTTTGCATATTGTTTGTGGTTTAGTTCGAGTTATTGTTCGTGTTGCCCTAGAAAGCTTCCGCCGCGCACAACAATTGGTATCAGAGCTAGATCGACAACATGGGAGATGCAAGCACGTCAGGTTCGTCTCTAACAAAGGCGATACAGAGTCTGAGCATCAATAACACGAAGATTGATGTTCCGAAGTTCGATGGCAAGATCAATTTTGGATTGTGGAGGTGTCAGGTGATGGATGCTTTGGATGCACAGAATTTGGAGGAGACTCTTGAGTTAAAAGAGAAACCCGCTGAGTTGGAGGATAAGGTTTGGAGAAAGATGAACAGTAGAGCTTGTGGTGTTATTAGGTCATGCTTGACGCCGGATCTTATTTATGATGTTATGAACGAGACGTCGGCGAAGAAGATGTGGGAAACACTCAATGAGAAATATCTTACGAAGAGCATTGAGAATCGGCTTCACTTGAAGAAGAGATTTTACCAGTTCAAGATGAAGAGAGGGGTTTCCATCAGGGAGCATGTCAACAATTTCACTAAGCTACTTTCAGATATGGCCAATGTTGATATTATAGTTGAGGATGAAGACAAGGCGATGCTACTTCTGTGTTCGTTGCCCGAAGATGATTATGGTACGTTCGTTCTCACTATGATCAATGGAAGAACTACAGTTAGCTACAAGGAGGTGACCTCAGCTTTGGTGAACTATGAGTTGAGGAAGAGTGATGGTGAACCCTCCGAGAAGGCATCGGGAGATGCGTTAGCAGTTCGAGGCCGAGATCCAAACCGTCGTCAGTTTAACCGCTCAAAGTCAAAGAATAGGAGTGCCTATAAGAGTGTTGGTAGAAATCAATGTCGGTATTGTAAAGAAGAAGGACATTGGAAGATTGACTGCCCAAAGTGGAAAGAAAAAGCCGGAAAGAATAAGGGGAAAGCTGCACAAGCTTCAGAAGTGAATGTTGCAAAAGCTATTGGTGAGCATTCAGATTCAGATTCTTCAGGCTATTCATGCCCTGCTTTACCGTCGGTTTGCTATGCGGATTCCACGGAGTGGATGATGGATTCGGGAGCTACATATCACATCTGCCCTAAGAGGGAGTGGTTTTCTAGCTTTGAGGAGCTGGAAAGAGGGGATGTCGTGCTTATGGGTAATGATCACGTATGCCCTATTGGTGGTATTGGTTCAGTCCGGATCAGGATGCATGATGGTGTAGTGAGGGAATTGAAGGAAGTGAGGTTCGTGCCGCAGTTGACGAAGAACATCATTTCTCTTGGGACTTTGGAGGCAGCAGGATATCGAGTGATCTTAGAGGATGCTACAGTGAAGGTCACGAAGGGTTCTATGGTGGTGATGCGAGGTGTCAGGGAAAACTACCTATACTACTTGAAGGGCAAGACAGTTACAGGGGGTCTGGCAGCTTCTATCACTACAGAGGAGGACACTACCACCTTATGGCACATGAGACTTGGACACACAGGAGATAAGTCCCTACAGTCATTGGCTAAACAGGGGCTATTGAAAGGTGCTAAGACCTGCAAGATGGAATTGTGTGAGCATTGTGTACTTGGGAAGAAGACTAGAGTGAAGTTCGGCACCGCTGTTCATAACACCCAAGGTACATTGGATTATATTCACACGGACGTTTGGGGTCCTTCCAAGAACACATCTCTTGGTGGGGCCAACTATTTTGTCACTTTCATTGATGATTATTCCAGGAGGAATTGGGTATACCCGATGAAGCATAAACATCAGGTCCTGGATATTTTTGTGGAGTGGAAAAAGAAAGTGGAGCTGCAGACAGGTAGAAAGGTGAAGACTCTACGTTCAGATAACGGTGGAGAGTACAAGAGTGATCCGTTTCTGCAGTTTTGCCGGGATCACGGCATTAGAAGACACTTCACAGTTCGAGAGACACCGCAACAGAACGGGGTGGCTGAGAGATTGAACCGTACCTTGCTGGAGAAGGTGCGGTGTATGATGACGCAGAGTGGATTGCCTAGATCTTTTTGGGCCGAGGCGTTGGTTTATGCGAGCCATCTTGTGAACAGGTTGCCGTGCACTGCGATAGACGGGAAGACTCCTTTGGAGCGTTGGTTTGGTTCGGTGGCTAGTGACTATGAGTCGCTTCGGATATTCGGGTGTCCAGCTTATTATCATGTCAGTGATGGCAAATTAAATCCGAGAGCGAGGAAAGCAGTCTTTGTGGGATTTAGGGATGGAGTCAAAGGCTTCAAGTTATGGGATCCACAGGACAAGAAGATAGTTATTAGCAGAGATGTCACATTTGACGAGGCGTACATGATGAGGCCTCGAGCCCCTCAGCAGGTGGAGGGAGACCAGACAGGAGAGATATCGCAGCAGGTGGAGGATGATGTGACTCCACCCACTCCAGAGAACACTGTATCCATTGAGGCTCCTACAGAGGTGACACTGGGAGGAGATGAGATGACAGATGGGCAGATACAGGATACAGTAGATCATGGGACTCAGGAACAGGGTCATGTTCAGAGGACCATTGCAGCAGATAGACCGAGGAGAGAGATTCGTCGGCCAGCTAGGTATAATGATGTCATGGTCGCATATGCATTATCAGTGGAGGTCGTTGATGATATGGTTCCAGCCACATTCAGGGAGGCAGAGTCTAGCCCCGATTCGATCAGGTGGAGGGAAGCTATGGAGGAGGAGATGCGGTCTCTTCAGAAGAACGACACTTGGACACTTGCACATCTACCTAAGGGTAAGAAAGCTATTGGTTGCAAGTGGGTATATGCGAAGAAGGAGGGATCTTCTATTGGGGACATTCGGTTCAAAGCCAGATTAGTTGCCAAGGGATATGCACAGCTTGAGGGCATTGATTACAACGAGGTATTTTCACCCGTTGTGAAGCATTCGTCGATTCGGATTTTATTGGCGTTGGTGGCACAGTTGGATTTGGATTTGGTCCAGATGGATGTGAAGACAGCCTTTCTACACGGTGATTTAGATGAGGAGATCTACATGACACAACCACAGGGTTTCAAAGCTGCAGGAAAGGAAAATTTGGTTTGTAAGCTGAAGAAGTCTCTTTATGGTTTGAAGCAGTCACCAAGACAGTGGTATAAGAGATTCGACGGCTTTATGATTGGCCGAGGGTACACGAGGAGCCCATATGACCCATGTGTTTATATGCACAAGCTACAGGATGGTGAGCTCATATATTTGCTTTTATATGTTGATGATATGCTTATTGCTTCCAGGAATTCTTCAGCTATTCGAAAGCTGAAAGAGGAGTTATCATCCGAGTTTGAGATGAAGGATCTTGGAGAGGCAAAGAAGATATTGGGTATGGAGATCGAGCGAGACAGGGTGAAGGGGAAATTGAAGCTTACACAGAAGAGCTACTTGCAGAAGATGTTGAAGAAATTCAGCTTTGATGGCAATGCAAAAGCAGTTAGCACACCATTGGCTCCCCACTTCAAGCTTTCAGCGTTGATGTCACCTGTTTCAGTTGAGGACAGAGATTATATGTCGAAGGTCCCATATGCTAGTGCAGTAGGTAGCTTGATGTATGCGATGGTGTGTACGAGGCCAGATTTGTCACAGGCCGTGAGTATGGTATCGAGATACATGCACGACCCGGGGAAGGGTCACTGGGAGGCCGTGAAGTGGATTCTATGGTATGTTCGAGGCACCGTGGATGTTGGTTTAGTATTTTCAGAAGGATGAGAAGGATTGCTCAGGAGACTATTCGGATATATTGTGATAGTATGTCGGCTATCTATTTGGCGAAGAACCAGGTTTATCATGCGTGCACAAAGCACATCGACGTTAGATTCCACTTTGTACGGGACGTCTTGGATGATGGAGATGTCATATTGGAGAAGGTCCACACAAATGACAACCCTGCAGATATGTTGACCAAAGTTGTTTCAGGAGTGAAATTTGGTCATTGTTTGAAGTTGTTGAACATCCTTCAGTGCTGAGG